CTCTAAAATTAGGATGAATCTTATTTTTGCCACGGCGCAGCCGTAACATAAGGTCGGGCAGGCAGCCCCCCCTTGCAGGAAGTGGAAAGGTGAGCATATATACTAATTTATAGACCCCCTCCTTCATCACAACACCTCCACTACGATACGCACAATGGACGACGAGGTTTTCATCATGGAAGTGGACTGTGTCTGTAGACTACAACACAACAAAATAGGAAATTTATAACAACAATAAACACAATTTAAACAGACACAAAAATAAAACATTTAACTAGTCTACTTACTTTCTTGTAGAAGTACAAATGTCCAGGATGCCCAAATCAATAACAAAACTGCGAGCCTGCACGCACGACGCTACGCTTCTGAAACGCTTCTGGGACGCGTCTGGTGGGTTATGGCGCTAGAGATTTTCGCAGCCGTGACGCGGCGCAGCGCGGCACAGACGAACCCAGTGGAAACTGGGGGTTACACCTTAAAACGATGTTTAAAACGAAAAGTAAATGTTCAGGATTTTTATTAATGGTAATTTTCAGACTGTGAGTTGTTTAGTGGTAGCTCATAGACTTGATTCTTCTGGTTTAACTTTTCACTCCGCATTTGATGTGTCGAAATTCATTCGTCACTTCCTTTTCAGTTTTTTATTTTTTTTATCTTTTTTTTTTATCATTATTGTTACGTCCTGTCTGTATAAACGTGCTTTAAAATGTATTGTTTAATTTTACATAGTTGTCATCTAATAATCAAAATATATGTTTACAAATGTTACATAGTCTTTGTCAGCATATTATTATATATACGCTATGCGTACAAAATAAAAGTGTCACATTCATGAAACTTGCTCCATTTATTGGTAACAGTCCTAGAACCATACCCTAAAAAATGCTTGAGGGTGGGATTAATAACCTCTTTTTGGGGGGGGGGGGGCATTTTATGACAGGCCTGGCCCTCACAATATGCCCCCCCCTTGCTATCTTACAAAATAAAAGTGTCACATTCATGGAACTTGCTCCATTTATTTTTATTGGTACCAGTCCTAGAACCATACCCTGAAAGATGCTTGACGGTGGGATTCATAGAAACATCTTTTGCGGGGGGGCATTTTATGACAGGCCTGGTTTATCATCCGAGTCAGAAATAAAACCAATATGGAGTGAGTGCTAGTCCTGCAATTGTCCAACACATTTACATACACACAGTAATTAATAATACATGTTGAATTAAATAAAGAAATAAAGTGATATCCATACTAAAATCGTGTACATTATCCAATTGGGGTTGTTTGCGTGGTGCAGACTCGTGAATGTAACAAAGTTAGTGACTCCACCACGCAATGCGGTGTTAAGGAGTCGTGGTGGAGTCACGCATTCTGGTGAGATCAGGTTGACATTATCACACATAAAATAAACATTTATTTTGAAGATTTATTAGATTTTTATAGGCAAAGTTTAATATAAGAAACCTTGCAGTCTCCCTGTAGCGGCCAAAATCATATAGAAATAAAACAGATAATTAACTTAAAATAATACAGCCGCTGAGGCACTAGTTAGCGGATCTTACGCAGGGCAATGATCATCCAAATCCAGACAAGAACCTCCATTTGTGCATTTTATTCCATTAACAAAGTACAATGAACAGGTTTCCTATATATCTCTTCCTTAAGCCTTTCCTATGGCTTTACTTTGTGTGGCTTGAAACACCCTGCTAAAAAAACGTTTGCCTACTAGTGCTCTGGCTCCCACCACCCACCTGGCTGTCTCCAATATATACAATTACACCAGGTGCTCTAATCACCCAGTGCCCAAACATGCCTTCAAAATAAAAGCATAGAAACTACTTTGACTTATGAGACTAACTAAGAATACATTTACAATAACACTATAAACAGCAAGAAAATAAATGTTAAACTATTAAATAATATTAAGAGATATAAAGCTCCCAGATCAAGAAAGAATGTAATGCAGGTAATTGCTCCTGTGGGGATTGTCCTGAATGTATGTAAGTCGCTTTGGATAAAAGCGTCTAACAAATGACATGTAATGTAATAATTATCTTATATATGCGCACATGTCTGTCTACTGGATTAATTTTGCGCATTACCAACACAAGCAACTTGCACACGCACACCCCACTCGTTCCCGCGTCCCACAGTCATTAGTGACGGCGCGAAAACCAATTTGCGGTACAGCCGACAGTTTCTCAGATTTGCTGTGACATTTGTCAGCGGTGGTACCACCACCAACGTGTACAAAGGCCTCCAGTGGATCAACCGTACTTGTGCCCTGGATGCACATAATGCCCCGAAGGAACCATCATTAACTGTCCACTGTCATTTCAACCAATGCAACTATTGTTTGGCTTGTCATAAAATGCCCCCACCCCAAAAGATGTTTCTATGAATCCCACCGTCAAGCATTTTTCAGGGTATGGTTCTAGGACTGTCACCAATAAATGGAGCAAGTTTCATGAATGTGACGCTTTTATTTTGTAAGATAGCATGGGGGGGCATATTGTGATGGCCAGGCCTGTCATAAAATGCCCCATCCCCCCCAAAAAGAGGTTTCTATTAATCCCACCCTCAAGCATTTTTCAGGGTATGGTTCAAGGACTGTTACCAATAAATGGAGCAAGTTTCATGAATGTGACACTTTTATTTTGTAAGATAGCAAGGGGGGGCATATTGTGAGGGCCAGGCCTGTCATAAAATGCCCCCCCCCCCAAAAAAGAGGTTTCTATTAATCCCACCCTCAATAATTTTTCAGGGTATGGTTCTAGGTCTGGTACCAATAAATGGAGCAAGTTTCATGAATGTGACACTTTTATTTTGTACGCATAGCGTATATATAATAATATGCTGACAAAGACTATGTAACATTTGTAAACATATATTTTGATTATTAGATGACAACTATGTAAAATTAAACAATACATTTTAAAGCACGTTTATACAGACAGGACGTAACAATAATGATAAAAAAAAGATTAAAAAAAACAAAAACTGAAAAGGAAGTGACGAATGAATTTCGACACCTCAAATACGGAGCGAAAAGTTAAACCAGAAGAATCAAGAAGACTATAGCTACCACTAAACAACTCACAGTCTGAAAATTACCATTAATAAAAACCCTGAACGTTTACTTTTCGTTTTAAACATCGTTTTAAGGTCTAAACGTGTCATTTAGAGGTGTAAACGTGTCATTTAGAAATGCGCGTTCCCGTGACAACGGGGGCATTTCATGAAGGGGAGGCATAATGTGACACAACACCTGAACGCAGTTCCAGCTCTTCACAAATTGCAGTACCCAAAAAAACTTTTGGATTAAGAGGTTGCTTTTTCTTTGCACAGCATGAAAGAAAGGCGAAATCAATGGGCTGTGATTTTTTTTTTTTAGCAGAGGTTGATTTCAATAATTTGTAGGGCCCTTGGCGGATGTTGTAACATTTGAAATGGCCCTTGAGAGGAAAAAGGTTCCCCACCCCTGATCTACATCAATGTGTGAGCATTTTATCAGAGGTGTGTGATAATGATGTACCTTGCTCAAGACTTCAGATAAAACACATGGAGCTTAATTGTTGTTCGTATTGTTCCTAGCAATTTGCATGGCTACGATATTTTTACAATGTATCACTGCTGTTTTATGAATGAATAGAATGACCATCTTGTCTTTTTTAATATCGAATATATATATATATTTTTTACCATTACAATCCACCAAAAGAATCTTGCTTAGTATAAAGGAGCTTTTCAATGCTCAGTCTCAGAGACGGAGAGCGAGGAAAAGGATCCCTGTACGACGATAAAAGTCTCACTGGCAGCAACATTCAGTGTCCAGCCTGCTGATACAATTATTCGCTTTTCTGTCTTTTTAATGCTAGCTTCTGTCTCAAAGAAATGGTCAAAAACAAGCTTCTCCAATTTCTACAGCGACGTCACCGGCCCTCTTGAGCGAAGTTGAGATTATTTCAACTCAAAATGTGCTGCACTTTAAAAAACAATGCAAATAAAAAAACACAATTGGCCCATGCAAATGAAGAAACATCTTCACCAAAACGTAATGAAACATGCGCAGCATGTACTAAAAGTGCTGAATAACCCCCCCCCCCCCCCCTGCAATAAGCTCAAAACAAAACGGGCAGGGGCCGCTAAAAAGTGACGCACACAGCTGGGACCGGAGGGGAACAAAGATTGCCAACTGTCACATACTGTAAAATGTACCTAAAATGTTCAAACGTTTTGTTGGCTTATTCTGATATCTGATCGCATGATTTCTTCCAAAAGTTAATTGAACTATTAGCAGCGTTTCGTTTAGGCAGCGCTTTTAGTAAATCCTGTGCATGTTTTGTCAATTTGGTGAAGATGTTTCTTCATTTGCATGTGTTTTGGCACATTTGTGTTATTATATTTGCATGGCTTCTCCTAATGGATATGTCTTAGGCCATGGTTATTTGCTTGCCCCTGTTGACCACCGTAGAAAACAACTGAAAAAAAATAAGCTGGCCTCCAGAAAAAGGCACTGTGTGGACACAGGCCCTCAGGGGCTCTGTCCAGCTGCTATGTTCATACACTGACAGGATGTATGGTGCTGGATGTGGGATGGCAGCAGACACAACTGAAAAGTGTGTGTAGGGGGAGGGGGTAAACGTACATTATTTTCTGTGGGGTCACTCACATACCAACAAAAGCGCGTGTGCGTCCCTCTGTGTGCGCGCGTCCGTGTCAGTTTTCCACTCCGTCCGGTAGGTGGGACTTAAAGCTCGGAGGATGGAGTCTAGCTCTGTCTCTCACATCCCTATCTCTCTCTATGTCTCTCCACCATCCCCCCAGCCAGAGAGAGAGAGAGAGAGAGAGAGAGAGAGAGAGAGAGAGAGGAGCAGAGAGAGAGAGAGAGAGAGAGAGAGAGAAGAGAGAGAGAGAGAAGAGAGAGAGCGGAGACGCGAGAGAAGAGAATAGGAGTGCGCGTAGAAAGAGAGAGAGAGAGAGAGAGAGAGAGAGAGAGAGAGAGAGATGGAGGGATGACATAAAGCGATGCAGAGAGAAGAGGAGAGGAGAAGAGGAAAAAAGGGAATGCGCTCAGATCTCTTCATGTCATGGACCTGGAATATATTCGGGATTTCTCCGTTTTCCTGCTCCGCGGTGAATTTTCTTAACGCGCAGGAGAGCCGTGACTGGCATCATCAAAACCTCTGACATACCCACACACACACACATTCACACACACACAGTCCCCCACACATGGATACGCACGGACTCAAAAGGAGATATGATTTTTATGTTATTTAACAATCAATTGAGCGAAATAGGATCAGAACACCGGTTACGCATTCACACACCCACGTACGCGCTATGATCAGGAGGATTTGAGGCATTTTTTCCTTTGCTGCAAAGTTGCGAAGAAATCTGGGTACTTGAATCGTGACAGCATGGATGGATTTGGCGCGTTGTTTGGCGCATTCGGCGTCCGTCGCCCTCCCAGGATATTGTGCAGCTGGAAGGTCTTTTTTCTGCTCAGCGTCTTTTTTCACAACTACCTGAGCTCCTTGCTGGACTGTCCGCCCACCTGCACCTGCTCGCCCACGGAGATCTTCTGCAATAAGTCCGACAACAGCAGGTTCTTCCCGCTACTGTCCTTCCAGGGCACCGGCAGCGGGGGGAACAGCACCGGGAGCATCGAGGACCTTTTCCAGAACATCACCTCCATGTAAGTGCCTCTGCTGCTGCTGCGTTAAAATGTCTGCAGATGATGTCCTACAGCTGTGTGTCGGCGGGTTTAATTAGCTGCTTGTGGACATTTACAGAATTTCTTTAAATCACTAGCATTCAGGAGTAGAAAAACTACCCATAATTATCTGTGGATTAGAGAAAATACCTAATGGGATTATGATCCATAGCATATGGGCCAGAATTAACATGATGTCAGTGATGAGGAAGGTCCCATATATGGGCAATAAGGAGAAAATACATGCTTTAAGATGTGCACATTTTTGTGGAATTGTGGTGGGAAATTCCTCCAAAAATAATTTAAATGTTCACTATATTCTATGCTCATTATTTGTGGAATGAACTGGTGTCAATCAGGGTCTCATTTAAAATCTCAAACTTTATCAGTGATACATTGAGCCATGAACATGAAAAAACATTTGCTAAATCAAGAACATTTTATAACAGGTCAAACTAGACCATTATGTTTGTAGTCTGCGATCAAACATGTAGGTTTAGAACAAAGTTTATTCAATTCAATTTATAATGAGAAAGTCACAGTAAACCCTTCTTCGTTCTTTAATTTTGTCTATATCCATATGTTTTTTGTACCTGTTTACAGTTCACATGGTCTATATTCTGTATGACCGGCTCAACAAGCCCTGTACATTGCCCTGAGCCATAATGCACCCACCGTTTACCCTTACTAAAAGTTTAAAATACCTTAACATTATCTTATTTTTGCATTTAACTTCAATGTAAAGTAAGGCTTCTTCAAACTGAGAAGCTTTATCATTAACGACAATTAAGTTAGTAATCTTCTCATTCCACATACATTTCATGTGAATTGTTTAAGTAGAATATAATGGTCAGAAATGGTTTCCCATGTCATGGTAGAACATTCAATGAGTTGATATTTATGCAAAGGTGGCAATAAGCTCGGCGACATCCTAAAGCCGGTCAAAGATCTGAAGTAGTGCGAGCGGGCTCAGAAGTTAGAGTAGTAGAAACCCACATTTTTGCTTTGCATTTCTATTCATGTGTTACTATGGAGAGCAATGGAGAATAGATTTAGTAATAATGACAAACAAAGGGGCATTAAGTTGAATGGTGCCACTGTGCTAAGAACTAAGGCTTGACACATGGTCTCTAACAAGAAACTGCGAGAAATCGTATTTTACTTTCCAAAGGATATTTCTCTCCTTCAAAATAATTGCAATTTATACAATATGAGTTTCTTTAAATACAATTACATTCTTAAGTAACCTGAAGAGGGTTAGCCTTCTACCTAAAACGAGTTACGGGAAGATGATTTGACAGGCCCACTTCTTAAGTAAAGCGCCCCAGAAAAACATATCCCTATATTGTTCCTTTAAACATCATTGTAACTCTTCCCCGTCCCTTGCCGCAGTGTCTCCCTAATACCTTTATTTTCTCCTTTGATGACAGAGAACATTTCAGCCTGAGAGGTAATAAGCCCAGATATCTCCAAATAGCTTTTTCATTGGATGATAAAAGCAGTCATGACTCAGCTGCTCATAAGCACATCTCTAAGTCTAAATGCCAGTTTTCTTTTCTGGGATGAACCGCTAACCAGTCATTGAAATAGCCGCGAAGATTCCTCGGTGGGCTCTGAATACAAACCCCCGCAGACCCAAGTCACTTTAGATATCCTTTTTACTTTGAGAGACCCAGCAGGCGGAACTTCTCACAAGAAATTGTCTTTTCTTCAGATGGGAATAGACCAGAAAGACAACAAAACTGTTAAATATCGGGGATTTTTAAGGATATTTTTAGTGGCGTTGAGATACATTTGTGTCAAGATATCTTTATGAACAATCCGGCGGTGTCTATAAAGGTTGATCGAGTCCATCTGACATGTCACATCTCCTCGTATGTGTGTGTGTGTGTGCGCCCTCCTGTGGGATATTCCTCATCCATCATGTGTCACCTGACTAGGAAGTGATCAGCGTTCAAGATCAGAAGTTGTGTCAGAACTGAATTCATTAAGTAACACTGAATAATACATTTGGCCTTCACTTGTGGTTGATATATCAGGCATTTCCATAAAGTCACTCAGTTACAAAACAAGGTAACCAATGAAATGCAGCAGTAAATACAACACAAGGCATCCAGACTTGGACAAAGTGCTTAACAACCAAACAAATGAGGTTTCCATTGAAAAACTGGAAATAAAATCGTCTCTGAGGCAGCTTTAGGGGAACTTTGACTGAATATACGGCCATATGAGGAGGGACTTATCATCAAGTTGTTATATCCGATTGAAGAAATCCGTTAAAAGACATATTACTTATAACACCAGTGTTAGAACGTCTGCTAAGTTACAATCATTTTGGACGTTTCTGTGGTTTTACTATCCTGTGCGCAGTTTTGCAAGAAGAGCTGGTGTTTAAAATCATAACTGCTAAATTGGTTCATCTCGTAAACCTAGAATTGGAGTGGTCACATTAATCTGGACATCAGAGCCATTTTGACATTAACATTATGAGTGGAAAAACCGTCACTTTTAACAGACGATCCCAAATCATAATGGCGTATTATCCCAAAATGTGCCGGTGTCACATCTGTTGAATGCAAGCTGAAATAAGGTTTAAGAAGTGTGACTTAGACGAATGAAGTGAACATCTCCGTCGTCTTTGCTGTCTTAAATCATTGCAGATGTTTTGTCCCCCCGCCACACCTCAGCAATGAAACACTTCAGCAGGACATCGGTACAAAGACTAGATCGTGATCTTTTACAGCGATCCATTACTCTTCGGGCATACATAACTTGTGAGACTCCCCACATAAGTCATTTAGTAGAGCTGATGGTCCATGATCGTGGGTTCAAATCCGGCCAGCAGTGCCTTTACGCAAGTCCTAATATTCTCTAGTTTCCAATACATTGAACTAATGTAACTACGACCCACAAAAAAACAAATAGAGCTTTGGGGCATATCTTTAGTATCAGACACAGCTTAATTTCACTGTAGGGACATTGAAAACCCTACCAAAAGGAATGATTGATTACCCATGACTTTCCAGGAGGTCATTAATAATTTAGTTCATACTAATCAGGAGTTAGTAGCAGTTAGACTGCTCATTTGTACCTTACCCTACTAACAATGTTGGAAATTGGAAGTCTGAAAGCAAGGTATACCTTTCCAGTGACATAAGCTAATGGGCAAAAATGGCTTTATTGCGTCATGGTAACGTCTGTGTGAAATGAGGGACTGTATCACTCCGGCTTCACCTCACCGAGTGTGCTTTGGTTGCGTGAAAGTAGAAAAGGAGGTTGAAAGGGTGTCGAGATTGAAGATGACATTTCTTTTTTCTGCACCTTGTAGTCATGTGTGTGCATGAATGTCTTTTTCTGCTCGGAGGGAAATTCCAACAACATTTCAGCCAGCTCTCAGAGTCTATAGTCCATCAGTATTCTCTTTCCAATTCTCTTAGTTAGTCTGCAAAACACACACTCGCACACACACTGTTTCTAAATGTCAGTTTTCCATCTCCCGCTGCATCCTGCATCTCAACAACACCCGCGGTCGGAGTGCTTTAGATGTCAGCTGTTGCTTCCTTGAAAAGCAGAACCCCCCCCTCTTCCCCTTTTTTCTGTCTGTGTGAATTCAAGCTTGTTGCTGTTCACAGTGAAATGAACCCGATCTTTATTCTCACACGCAGTGACTCATAAGAGAGGGAAACGCAGGGTCTGCAGAGTGCATGGGGATGTGCATTGCCTAAACTGACTGTATATCACATAGACCGTACTGTGGGACAGCGTTTCAGTAGAAACAGTCAACTTGCACGGGAAGATTTCAGTGTACCGGATTGGGAGAGCATTCGGCAAATATTACTCAGGACTTCTAGAGGTTTTTAGGGTCAAGTAAATACCTGCTAACGGAAATACTGCTAGTGTGTTTACTTGAACTTAGTGCTGACTGTTTACTCCTCTCATTATGGATGTTTGAGTTGGATTTTCACCTTCAAGTTTGCCATTGATTTACATGTATTTTACTACAGTTGTCAAAATCGATCTGTGTGCTGATGTAGAAACGGCATGGTCTTATTTTTATCTTGGTTTTATGGAGATCATTGATAGACATGCACCCCTGCGTACATTTAGAGTAAAGGGACGAGACAATCCTTGGTTTTCTGCTGAACTGTCTAGTCTCCTGCATGAGAGAAACAAGGCCTGGGCAAAGGCTAGGCAATCAGGCTCAGAGGTAGAGTGGCTGCGTTTTAGGCAGCTAAGGAATAGCTTCACTTCACATATCAAAAGTGCTAAGTCGAAGTACTATTTGTCAGTAACCACAGAACACCTAAATAATCCTAGGACATTTTGGAAAGCCATAAAATCGATATCCACCGGTGAGATCCGTAATGAGCTACCTCCTTGCCTTACCACAGCATCTGGCTCTATATCGGACAGGGCCACTATGTTAAATTGCTTTAATAAGCATTTTGTGTCCTGCGGTTCTCTTTTTGATTCTGTCACTAACTCTGCTTCTGTGAACACCCCAATCCGTGACTCTGAACAATGTGGTCTGGAAAACCCTTTCAGTTTTACCCCTTTTACTGTTGATGTTGTTCGTGAAGCTTTAACCAAGCTAGATCCTAAGAAACCGGCTGGCCCGGACAACGTAGAACCTTTCTTTTTAAAGATAGCTGCAGATTTTATTGCTCCACCTCTCACTACTCTTTTTAACCTCTCCCTCAGCACAAATGCAATTCCAAAAGTATGGAAGTCAGCGTATGTCCTGCCTTTGCAACTATTTTAAATAACTATAGGCCCATCTCTAAATGGTCAGTTCTGGCGAAGGTGCTCGAACGCCTAGTGAGTGAACAAGTAAAGGAGTTTTTATGTAAGAATGACATCCTGTCTAAACATCAGTCAGGTTTCAGAAAGCAACATAGCACCTTCACTGCGACAATGAAAGTGGTGAATGACATTACGAGTATCTTAGATAATAAGCAGAGTTGTGCAGCTCTATTTATTGA